AGAGAGAGAGAGAGAGGGGAGGAAGGAGGTGAAAGTCAGGGCCTCAGGTCACAACTACACACACACACTCAGGACATTTGCATCAAAATAAAAACTATAAAGTCAAATTGACAGCTGAAATCAATTTGAAAAATGTTTTCAAAGAGTTTTGGGGACAAAAAAAAAAAATGTTTTTATGTCCACTCACCATGAACAAATCTCTGGCCTCCAAATCCACAGCCAGGAGGAAGGCCTTCTCTGTTCGCTGGTGTCTGGAAACAGTGAAACAGTGAAGACGGTCGTCATTGATCACTTTAACAATAAATATGACGTCAGTTTGAGAAAAATGTGATTCCATCAAGTGAATAAACATCAGGGGGAAAAAAAGTAGATAAAAGTCTGATTGTAGCCAATGAAACGACGATATTAAAATGGACTCAAACACATTATTATTTCCGTTAAAATAATTTGATCATCATTCTGCAACAATAGTCTTGGTTAGCTAGCTAGCTAACTAGTTAAATAAATAGCTAGACGGGAGAAAGCTAGGTAGTAGTTTGGCTAGATAGCTACACAGCTAGAGAGCGGCGTGGCTAACTAGCAATACAGCTAAATAGCTACATAGCTGATAGCTATTGACCAAATATTTTCCTCCAGTTATAACAGTTTTTACAGTCCTCTGTGTGTGTGTGTGTGTGTGTGACGTTACCTAAGAAGGTGGTGAAAAAAGCGCCGGGCGTACGAACCGATTGGCTCCCTGTACTCCAGTATCACCGAGTCAGAGAGAGGAGCGGGGGGGGAGTAGAAGACCCCCAGAGCTGCTTCCAGTTGGGCTGCAGACGGAAACAAAACCAAAGTCACAAAGAACCGAAGGAAATAAAAAGCACGCAGTACTCCATCTCACCTTCGGTCGCTGCGTTGAGCTCCGTCCTCAGCAGGTGGTTGGTGATGGAGCCGAGAGCCCTGAAACATTCACCTCCGCTCGCGCTCCAGTCCATGGACTCCAGGATCCCCAGAGCTTCACTCACCTGTCCACAGAGGAGCCGCTGGTGCAGCAGCTCCACGGGTCCGAGGTGTCCTCCAGTCAGAGCTCCTGTCGCAGGAGGAGAAAAAAAAAAGAAAAGTTTAACCTTAAAACAGTAAGAAAAAAATCACAGAAAATTAATTTTTATCAACAAATATATATATATGTAACAATTTCGATCCTGAATTGAACCAAATTGAAAATCCTGTTACATTAATAATTACATTATAATCATCAAACACAACATTTATTCTCGGACGTTTTCTTGATCTGACACAAAAAATTTGACTGTAGTTTAAATCTGAACGTAAATTCACTTTACGTGGATAAAGTTGAAGTTAAACTTTTGATATGATTCTCGTACAAACTGAGTCCTGACACATTTTTGTGTTAATATTACGATTTTTTTTCATCATTTATCGCGATTACTTTTGTGTTTGTTTTTTACAGGGTTTTTGTTACAGTTAGAAAAAAAAAAGTTTATGGTCGATGTTGGAGATAAAAATGTCACACGGCTAAAGTCAAAAGTCAAGACGAGGAGAACTGCACTGCCCAGGCGTGTGTGTGTGTGTGTGTGTGTGTGTGTTTGAATATGCATGAACAGCGTCGACTGCTGAATAATGGAAGGCCACGGTTTTGTTCTCTCCCGGCCGCGCAGGTGTTTCCTTGTCTCCGTCCTCCAGGTCATTAACTTCCTCCTGTGTGTGACAGGCTGACGGTGTTGGTGTTGGTGTTGGTGTGTGACGGTGTTGGTGAACGCCGGAGCGTCTGGTTACAGCGCACGCTAACGCCGTGACAGCGAAACAGCTGAAACACGTGCACGGAGTTTAAAAGAACAGTCGACGATAACGTCAGGGTTTGACCTGGGCCTGAAGGTCACCTGACGCTGACCTGAAGGTCACCTGACACTGACCTGAAGGTCACCTGACACTGACCTGAAGGTCACCTGACACTGACCTGAAGGTCACCTGACGCTGACCTGAAGGTCACCGGACGCTGACCTGAAGGTCACCGGACGCTGACCTGAAGGGCACATGAGGTCACTCTGCTTTGGTTTTGTTTTAATATTTACATTTGTAAGTGCGGTTTCTATCAGTGTTTTTTTTTATGCAAACTGAAGGAACAGGAAGTGGAGACTGAACTAACCACAAACTCCTGGTTAATGTGTGTGTGTGTGTGTGTGTGTGTGTGTATGTGGTTGCAGTAATTAAATTTACAAGTTGGCAATTAGCAGGGCTTTAGATCCCAGTGGAGGGCGCTAATGAGGCGTGTGTACACATGAGACACGGGAAGTTCCCGTCTCTGTGGTTTTGTTCTCTCTGTCTCTCCGCTGCCTCACCTGGTCGGACCGTGAACAGCAGCAGAAAAAAAAACCCTGTGGCCTGACGTGTGAGCAGCGCCCGTTTTTAGAGCTGTGTAATAATTAAAATGTTTTCATCGAATTAATTACAGGCTAGCTGTGGAGATATCGGGATTAAACCTAGTAATTAAAGTCAATTAGTCACGATTCACTGGGATTGATCAACGTTCCTGAATCACCACAACTTCACGTCTTTTATCGAACGCAAACAAACAGGAGGAAAAACATGGATCCTCCTCCTCCTCCTCCTCCTCCTCCCCCTCTCTTCCTCCTCCTCTTCCTCTTCCTCCTCCTCCTCTTCCTCCTCCTCCTCCTCCTCCTCCTCTTCCTCCTCTTCTTCTTCTTCTAACCACTCGTCGTTCCACTCATTCTATACTTTCTCATCTGAACGTCCGTTTTATCTCCTGTCACTTCCTGTTGTCTCGGCTTCAGCCTCAGAACTGAAATGATCCATCACAGAATGTCTCTCACTACCATCATGTGAAATGTGATTTTAAACCTCCAACACGAACGCCTTGGTTTGTTTTTGTTTTTCCTCTACATTTTCACTCCAACACGAACGCCTTGGTTTGTTTTTGTTTTTGTTTTTCTCTACATTTCCACATCAAACGCGGCGACTCTTCCTCTTCCTCTTCCTCTTCTTCTTCTTCTTCTTCTCTCGCTCTTCCTTCCACAGACAGGTCCACCAACAGCCAACGTGTGTCCAGATGAGATAACTGGGTGCAGGCAGGGACTCTGTGTGTGTGTGTGTGTGTGTGAGGAGGGAGTGCCAAGGAACGCTGCCTCCTATGGAGAGAAAGGGAACTTGGACCTGGACCAAGTCTTTCTTGGTTCCTGACTCACTCCTTCTGTCACGTTGGACTTATAAAACAAGTCAATATGGAAAAGAAGGTGCGAGCAGACAAATTAGTCAGTGTGTGTGTGTGTGTGTGTGAAACAGAAATAGGCACACACACACACACACACACGTGGAGGGAGGAGGGAGAATTATCACAGAGAAACGAGGTGCAGTGACTTTCCTCATCAAAACCTTGGCAGACGATCAGAGAAGAAGCAGCTATTGTTGGAAAACAACCGCCCTCCTCCTCCTCCTCCCCCTCCTCCTCCTCCTCCTCCTCCTCTTCCTCCCCCTCCCCCCCTCCTCCTCCTCCTCCTCTTCTTCATCTTCTTCTTCCTCTTCTTCATTTTCTTCTTCTTCTTCTCCTCTTATTCTTCTTCTTCATCTTCTTCTTCCTCTTCTTCCTCTTCTTCCTCTTCTTCCTCTTCTTCTTCTTCTCCTCTTCCTCCACTCTCTCACCGATGCCTCCAAACTTTCAGCAGGGACCTGTGTCGCTCTCACATCTTCTTTCCAAAGTCACGCTTAAGGACTCTGTGTGTCTTTGTGTGTGTGTTAGTGTGTTTGTGTGTGTGTTAAGGTGTTTGTGTGTGTGTTGGTGAAGTGGCCGTGGCGGCTTGTGAGAATTTTTGATTGGCAAACTTTATCTGGAGGCCCCCGAGGGACAGCGCAGCCGCTGTAAATGATTTATCGGAAAAATGCCTCCCACAATGCACCTGGGAGAGGGGATGGGTGGCTCGTGGCCCCGGGGCGATTATCGGATGACCTCTGAGCGCACGACTCCGGCTAACCTCTCCTCCGTACGTCAACAAATTAACCTTCGGTGAGCGGAGAGTCGTCGTCGAAGTTCAGGAAAAACATCAGACACAAAAGTCGGAGGAAGAGAATCTGAAGGACGCGCTCGTTGTTAGGGATCGAGAACCGCCCCCTACTGGACGATTCTATGGAATTGTTAGTCTGCATGCTTTACTATGCGGCAGCAGATGGCGCTGATGACGTTCTTTGTCCAAATATCGCAGTAACTTCAGGGTCATTCAGGTCGTGTCCTGTTCATTAACGTATTCTGTTTCCTGCCAAAACAGGAACTGAATTCTGATCAGTTTCATCTCCGGTCGTGTTCCTCATTTCCTCACTCCACAAACTTCATGCGTGCGTTCAAACCCACCTAGTCTGAACCTCAGGACGGCCAGTGGACCCCCGTGTACGGCCAGCATCAGCATGTCCCCGCCCTCCGGGCCTCCGTCCCGGCCCGCGGACCACTGCAGGCCCTCCAGACCTCCGGAGCAGCGCAGGTGTTCTGTCAGCCTCAGTGTGGGAGCTGGAGCCGGCTCCTCGGCCAACAGCGCCATCTTCACGGGCGCCAGGCCCACGTCGAAGCACATCAGCCCCCCCTGCCCCCCCCCGACCACGACCACGGCCCCGGCGGGGTGCCAGGCCAGCAGGTTGGGCGGCACGGGGCAGGAGGCCAGCAGGGAAACCCCCCGTCGACCGTCATACAGGACCAGGGAGGAGTCGCTGAGGCCCAGCAGGAGCATGGTCTCCGAGGGATGATGGGAGCAGAAGATGGGCGTCGCCGGCAGGGGGATGCGGGTGACGGACAGTCGGTGCGAGCGTCCTCGGGCGCATTCGTAAACGCAGGTCTGGGCCCAGGACTCTTGTCCGGGCTCTGGGGTTCTGGCAGGAAGCTCCACGGTCAGCAGCTGGTACGGCCGCAGCAGACTGAAGCGACAGTCCAGAGGATCTCCCTCGGTCTTCACGGAACAAAGAACCTGAAAAACACAGGAAAGAAGAACCTGTGAGAAGAGAGAGGTTTTCATTGGACGATGGATCAGGAAGTGCAGGTGTGACGGACTCAGAGCTCCAGGGATTTGACCTCAGCAAAACCATCCCGGCGCTAACTGCGACATCTGCGATTACACAAGTTTATGTCCCTGTCATTGGGGGGAGGACGGGGGGGAGGGGGATTAGGACCAGTCTGTGTCCGTCATCTGTTCTGACCAACGCTGCCAGGAACCGACTTAGGAGGAAATGAGTTCATCGTCTGCATATGGTCGACGTCAGGAGCTGATAAAATGAATCAGGGATCGCGACACTGAAAACCACGGACAAACTTTGTCCCTCAGAGATCTGACAACATCAAAAAGAACTTTTTATGAGGTTTAGTTTAAAATATGCCTCAATAATTTTAGCTTACATTTAGGGTCAATTTTAGCTTCTTCTGCAGCGTCTTCTCACTTTTAATAGGCTAACAATTAGCTATCTTTGGTATCGATTAGCACTGTTAACAAACATTAAGAAACGTTTAATTATTTAAAATATCATTGCAGTATATGGGCTAACCTTTAGACGTTAAGGCGCTAACCATTAGTCAGGTTTTGGCTGTATTTGTTATTTATTTAGATTTTTTTTTTTTTTTAAGATTTTAGTCCAACGAACCCTGTCGCCGCTGCTGCATTTCTACGACCGTTTCGTTGTACCGAACAATCACGTCTTCACAACAGCGTCAATAATTCATCTGTTCTGAGTCCGACGTCGGTCTGAAGACGTCAACTCGTAGCTGAACTGGACCAGGACTGGTTGAAAACCATCGAGTGCGACATTTAAACGGCTGCAGCTTTCGCAAATCTCAATAAAGCTACAGTCAAATCTTAGAGAGAAAAAAAAAAGAAAACTGCAGACAGTGACACATTTGACATCTGCACAGCTGCAGTTCCACTGCGGGTCATCTCTAAGGCCGCGCGGTGCCTCATTTTCCACTTCATGTGCACCGAGCAAAGGCAAGCAAAATGAAGGCACCTGAAGGCAACACGGCTGATGAGATGATAAAAGCAAAGACTCCAGACTTTCAGGAGTGTGAGGTTTTTTTTTCTTCTCTCAATTTTAAAACTGCAAAAAAAAAAAGTCATGAAACATGAATTTCCCTGTAATGACCTGCAGCTGACGGAACAGTTTCAAGAAGATACAAGTCGGCCGGAAAGATACGAGGACGAGCGTTTGAATATTTACACACAGCAACCACTATTTACATACGGCGACAGGGCCGTAAAATGTGACGATTTCAGCAAAAACGGAAGGAAAAAAAAAGGGGCCTCAGAAATGACAAGATGAAATGAATCAGATTAATCACAGATGTAGCTGTGGTTTCATCGCTGTTAATCACGATTAATCATGGTTGTTATCAATCAGAAATAAACATAACCAGCAGATAAATTGTGGATAATTAATTATAATTAATAATTATGTGTGTAAAATTAATTCACAAAATAGTTCATGCAACATAATTTAAAAACTTTAAGCATTAATTCTGTTGTTGCGTTTCTGTGACGTTCGTTTTCGTCTGTGATTGTTGTCCAGTGTCGACTGTGTTTGAGTTAAATGACAGAGAGAGAGAGAGAGAGAGAGAGAGCTTGAATAAGTAGCTTTCTGCTGCTTATTGGTTTCAGTGACTGGTCAGAACTTCTTAGCCATTCTTCTCCTCCCTCTCTTTCTCCCTCTTTAGCCGGCACCTTCTTTTCTCGTCCGTGGCGTGAAAGATAAAGCGGACGGGCCCCACTGTGTGGCTGGCCCTTGTTCACAGCAGTGGCCTTTTGAAGCCAATTTTCCAGCTCACGGAGCAGAGAAAGACGGGGAGAGACCAGCAGAGAAGGGGAGACAGAGAGGGAGCGGGAGACTGGTGGGAGAGATGAAGGGATGAAGGGATGAAGGGATGAAGGGACGAGGGCTGTCTGGGGGCGGAAAGTTTAAGGTGTGTGAATCAGGGTGAGAGTCGAAGTACTGACGTGAGGAAAAACACAGAGCTGCTGTAGGATTACTGACCAAGAACTGACCAAGAACTGACCGAGAACTGACCAAGAACTGACCTGCGCTCCTTCACCATCAGAACGGTGAAACAAGAACTGACCAAGAACTGACCGAGAACTGACCAAGAACTGACCAGGAACTGACCGAGAACTGACCTGAGCTCCTTCACCGTCATGACTGTGAAACAACTCTTATTATGAAGAAAGAAAAATGTGGTTTTTAGCAGTGAGTCTGAATGTGTTTCCTGTGATTTAATGTAAATCGGAGTAAAAAAAAAAGAGGCTTTTTTTATATATAATTATGTCCTAGAAAAAACTCCAGCTGTAAATTAGATTCAATGACTAAAAGTGATGAAAAAAAAACACACAAAAATTTCAATTGAATACAGCAAAAAAGTTAACCAAGAATATACAAGAAAAAAATTTAGGCAAAATTTTAAAAAAAAGAGAGAGTGATTGAATTAGTTAAATATTTAGGCAGAACAAATAAAAAATAAAAATATGAAAAAAGCTAAAGGTAGTTTCAAATATGTAGCTTCAATGAATTATCAATATAATCGCCAGTAATTGAAGATCAAAGTTTCCAAAGAGATGAATGAAACAAGAAGTAAAAAAAACTCAAAGATGTTTCTCAAAGCGTACGTTAAATGTATCCTTTAAATAAAAACAGTCTCAGAATCGGGTTTTTTGGCCCCAGAGTGGACGTCACCTGTTGTTTTTAGAGGTAAATAAATTTCTCACATTTGAGAAATAGCGCCGCAGTAGAAGAGAAGA